AAAAACCCCCTCCGTAGTTTAGCCTTACCCTTACTCTGCCCTCTCGTTTTCCTCATTTTAGAGCGTGGAGAAGAAATATGTGGGACTCTCTGAGATTCCAAGGGGTGGGTTCTTCAGTGACCAGAATCTCTTCCACCCCTCCTTGTAACAGGCAAATACTGGGTCTGCTGAAGAGAGGTGATCTGTAATGCACTTCTAATGGCAGCTGGGCTGGGAGCAGTCTCCTTCTGCTCCACTCCTTACAATGACTCCAACTGGGGGAGGCAGGGACCGTGACAGTCATGAGCTTCCCCTCCTAGCGTGTATCCCACACTGGGTGATATAGGCTGGGACTGGTGTATCTGGAGTCACACACCAGCCAAAGTTCTGAGAACCCATTACTACAGACCAGCAGACTTGCCCTCCATGGCCATGTGGAAATCACTGGTGCGGAAACAGATCCATATCGATGGGGCTGGGAAACAGAACCCTGCATCTCAGAGGTGACGGGTGGCCTTACTATTCCTGGCCCATAGTGGGCACCAGTCCCGGGTTCTGTGATTGCTCCCGCTCAAACGGACGCAGTGGCTATGACCTGAGCAAGCCAGAAAGTGAAAGCCAAAGCATCTATAGCTGGAACAATAAGGAGAACGATTAAAGGTGAATCTGCGGGAGAGTAACCCGAGTCGCAGGCTAGCACCCTAACCACAAGGGCGTCACTCCTCCCACACCGAGTGGGCAAGAACTGCGAGAGTAGAAGACAGAAGACAACTCCTTCAGGGAAAGCCTTAGTATGCGTGCAAACATCCGACATGTCCTTACACACACCAGTATGAGGGAGACCTGCAAGTGCACATTACTTTTATTTTGAAATATATACATATACATATTTTTAAAAGGCTATTCGCAAGGAAATGGTATTCCAGGAAAACCATCTAGAGCTTTCCACAGGCACCTCTTGCCCCTTAGGGCACTCCCCATGTCTTCACCACCACCACCGTGCTGAGAGAAGGCCCTGCAAACCCCTCCTTGTTTGAGATGATGGGGTGGGTCTCTTACTGCTCCATGTCCCCATTGCCTCGCACCGGAGGTCCCCTGCTGCCCCCAGTCATCCTGAGGCAATCAGGAATTGCTGGAGGGCTGCGATTGGTCTGTGGAACAACAAGCTTTCCAGAAAAGCATTAATAAAGCGAAGTCGGAGAATAGCTACAATATGGCTTTCTAGTATGTGTGTAACCCCTCCCCCTCTTTCCCACAGCCAGTTTCGCAAAGGGCTGTCACCACTTCTGATTATCCAGGGGTAAGCCCTCATTAGGACGGTCTTGTGCCCTTCGCCATCCTGCAAGCTAGCCTGGCAGGACATTACAAGTTTCTTTCTGAAATCCACCCATCACCGCACCTGTACCCATGCTCAGTCGTGGCCGGTAGGCCACAGGGTGAGGTTTGGGGACCTGGCTGGAAGGAATGGGTGAGTCACATATGATTCTGTAGCTTGCACTAATGCCCTCAAGCTCCTGACCCTCTTCACACATCACATCAAATACTCTCATTTAGGTTTCACCTCTCCCCGCTTTTCTATTGTTCTCTCCGCTCCTATCAAGGGTTCTTGGGCCAGATAGCACCACTCTGTTCCCTCCCAGCTCCCACTTCCCTCCCCAGAGCCTCCAGCAACAAGAGGCTCCTCAGGGACAGGAAAGGGAAGTGAGGTGGCGGCTCTGAAAATCCCCAGCTGACTATGGCCTCTAGCGGATCAGTGCCAGCTGGCAAGAGTTTGGAGCGGCTCTAAACAGCTCCAAACTCAGGCAGAAAATTGGGGAGCTGTAACTGACTTCTTAGAGTTTGCACTGTAATGGCTGGATGTTGAGCAGGTAGGGTGACAGAGGGGAGCCTGGAGGTACACTGTACTACGGTGCAGGGGCGGCCCGAGGCAGGCTGCCGGCAGCTGGTGCCCAGGTGGAACGCGCGATCGGCGCCCCCGCCTGCACGGCCGTCAATGGCATGACATCATCATTGGGCGCCCCGTTGAAGGCGGCGCCCTAGGCGATGGCCGAGTTGGCCTATATGCATGGGCCGCCCCTGCTAAGGAGTCCATAGAAACATGGGGGGCAGGCAACATACTGAGCACAGACTCACAGCACTGAGAAAATCAGCTAACTCCTGCCTAGACCCCATCAGTCAATAAGACCTCCTGGTCACTAGCACCATAGGTTGATGCTAGTACCGATGTTGGGAAGCCTGTGGTTTTCTGTCCCTCTCTCTCTTCTGCGCTGGTGCTGAACCTGCAGGTCCAAAGGGAAAAGGCTGTCTTCCCCCATGCCCAGCCCTGCCCCTCAAGCCATCCCACGATCCCCGAGCAGCAGCCCAGTTCCAAGCAGAAGACAGCTGCATTCTTATTTCAAAGCAGCTCAGAACACAAAGCCTAAGGGTGAGGTTGGGTGCTGGGTTGGATTCCTAGCAGACAGAATGGGGCCAACGGGTCCAATAGTAGGCACTGTTAAAAATCGCATAGCAGCTTTGCCCACGGGATTCTCTGTCTTTTTCAAAGTAGGTTCCAAACAGACTTAAATTTAAGATGTCTCTTCTCCATTCCTCTCCTCAACGCCTCTGGTAGCTATTTACATGTGCAACAACAGTGCCAGCCAGAGACCGAATACAGTACTGCAGATCAGCAATTCACGTAGCAGCACCTTGCCCTGGTGGTCTCATCCCCCAGGTCAAACCTGCCTTTTCTCCCCCTTCCGAAATTAGTGCCAACAGCAAAAGTAAAGGCAAAAGGGTGACAAGCAAATGCCTGGAGACAGTCTTTGCAGTGTCTTGGGTTTGACAGTGCCCAGTTGAATATTTTTGGAGGTAGCAGAGAAAAAAAGTGGTAAACTAAACAAAGGTTCAAGTTTTAAAGGTTCCCTTTCGGGGCCCCCGACACTGAGTCCACTGGGACTTGATCTCTTACCATAAAGCATCATAAAAAAAATCTACTGGTCTTAAATCTAGTACCTGGGAAATAAGTTCAAACAAAAAACAGGTAACTCACACATCTGGAAGATTCACAGATTGATTGCAAAGGCCAGAAGGGACCACTGCGATCATCTAGTCTGACTTCCTATATAGCACAGTCCAGAGACATTTTCCAAAATCATTTCTAGAGCAGATATTCTAGGGGGAAAAAAAATCTAAATCACAACTAAAAATGGTCAGTGATAGTGAATCTAGCATGGCCCTTGGTAAACTGTTCCTGATCATGATGATAAGGTCTCACCAGCATGGTTTCTTGCAAAGGAAAATCATGTTTCACTAACTTACTACAGTGCTTGGAACATATCAGTAGAGTCTGTTGTCCTAATTTATTTAGACTTTCCAAAGGACTCTGACATGGTCCTGCACAAGAGGCTATTAACGAAACTAATTAGTCAGGGGTCAAAAAGTGGCTACGGGACAGGGAACAAAGGGAAGGAACAAATGATCAAATTTAATCACAGCAAAACGTTAACAGCTGGGAGTCTCAAAGTGCTGGGCTCGGTCTGGAGTTCAGTGTCATCTGGAAGAGAAGGTGAGCAGTGGAGTAGCAAAATTTGCAGGCGATGCCCAGTTATTTAGGTTAGGGGAGGCAAGAGAGAACACTGGAGCTCCAGAAGGGCCTAATCAAGCCAGCTGAATTGGCAACATGATGGGAAGTGATGCTTAGTGTTGTTCAATGCAAAGCAATGCACACTGGAGGGAAGGAGGAGAACTACTTGTGCACTGTACACAGTTCCAAATTAACTGTATCAACTTAGGAGTGGAGTCTGAGGGTCGCAGCTCAGTGAGACCTTAATACAATGTGCAGCTGGCGGAAAAAAGCTAACAAGATGTCAAGAGGACTAAGGAATCAGATGCAGCACACTATGGAAAATATTCTCACATCTTTATGCAACCTGATGGTTGTGGATGCTTTGTGAAGTACCAGGCGCTCCCTTTCGAACAGGATATTGCGTAACAGGAGGAGGTTTAGAGGCAGGCGATGGGGGAGGGAAAGTTTGCTATCATTTTACCTTAGAAAGTTGAAGAGAAAGAGAGGACAAGGGTATAAAATAAGGAATGATCTAGAGAAGGGGAGCTAATGTTCTCCCTTCTCAAGCAAGGAGACATTCAATGAAATAAAAGCTGGGTCATTCTGAACAGATAAAAGGAAATGCTATTTCTATAGAATGCATCATTAGATAAAGGAAGCAATACAGATGTTGCTGAGGATTTGAATTTAACAGGACTCTAAAAGGATGTGGGAATTTATATGGATAGCAAAAATAGCCAGTTATCACAGTTAATGCTAACACAAAGTTTGGAAGGGATATTAAACCTCATGCCCATCACTTAACTATTAGGGATTAGGATGAGGCCTTCATCGGAGTAGATCACCCCACTTTTTCCTATGGCAGACTTCTTTCATTTTCCTCCCAAGCACTTGGGCAGTGTCTGAGCCTGGCTAGTGGACTAGACAAGCCACAGGTCTAATCCACCCTGGTAAATCCCTATGGGTACGTCTACACTGTTTACTTCAAAATAAGCTATTCCGGAATAGTTATTGTGAAATAGCTTATTTCGAAATAGCACGTCTACACTTCAGGAAAGCCTCAAAATTAAACCGAGGCAGGGTTCCCTAATGCAGACGCGCTCTCTCGATTTAGAGCCCCAGGAGGCACTGGGGAGGAATAACTTAGAATGGCCCTGGTGAGGGGCTATTTTGAAATCGGCATTATTCCTCGTAGAATGAGGTTTACAGATTATTGGAATAAGCCGTCCGTTATTTCGAAATTATTTCAAAATAACGGAATGGCTGTGTAGACGTTTGCATTATTTCAAAATAACGCTAGTTACCCTATGAGATCTACTACTGCAACCGCCTAGAAGAGTCGTCACCACATCCCTTTGCCTCCTCCCCTCGCAAGCTGTTCACCGCAACCAACAAAGGTTCATGACACAGGCAAGAGCAGAAAAATCCCTGATAACACTTAACATAGTCTTATTGCTGCTACTTCTTCTATCCAGTCTTTAGGACAAAATTAAGTAGCCTTGGTCCCTTATACTAGCCTTTAGACAGGAGCAAGGTCTTCAGCTTCACAGCACTGAAAGCCATTTATTATCCAAGGATCTGGCTCTCCAGCTTTCTTTAGATCAGAACACAGTTTGGCTTCTTCCCCACAGGTTGGCCAAACAGTGCTAGAATCAGGGTGGGCAGGAATTGGGTCTAGACCCAGTGTGAGGCCCACATGGACACAGCTTAAATCCAGTCACAGTTTACAAGCTTTACACAATAACCTGAAGTGGGAAGCACAGATGGACCCAACCATCAAGGGTCAGATCCAGACTTAGACACTCCCTCCCTCACCGCTCTGGGGACTTCAGAGCTCTCCGAATGACAGCAACAGAAATACAGGCGGTGAGTGAGAGAGATTGTCCACAGCAAGGTATGTGTTTGGATGAAGCCCATCACCTGTAAACCAAACAGTGCAGATGTGGGATGATGGATCGCAACCAAAGACATTCACTCCCGATTCACCCCATGGTATTTTAGTGTTTGAAAACCAGCTGTTCCTTTATATACCTGCTGCTACCTGGAAGTTCAGGCTTCTGCATACCCCTAGGATGGGCTGGTGACCACAGTCCTAGGATGCAGCTCTGGTTAGGTGTCTGGGATGTTCCTTTTGGGAAGCAGATCTCCAACAGGATCGGTTTGTCATGTCTGGAGGCAACTGAATGTCTAGTCCTGATTGTCACGTGTCAAACTGTGTTTGCTGAGTGGTGGCCAGGGATGCCTTTTACGAGCAATCGGGGAAGCTACAAATCTGGGTTTAGTAGGCTGGGAGCAAGGGAAGGTAAAAGCCAACCTGCCACACACTCTCCAGCATTGGCTGACCCCCTCCAATGACCGACAAGCAGAGACTGCACCAGCTGTGGCTGAACTCCTGTTATATGAAGGCAGGTGAAATCGGGGCTAAAATCCATTAGAGGATGGAACTCTCTGCGCATTATTTGAACAATGTTTGTTCCTCTAAGGGGGCTTCTCCAGTCTGAGTACACAGGAGGAACCTGCAACCCTCGCCCCATTGCTGGGAATGCCATCACGCCCATGTTCCTTACTGCTGTATTCAACCTCTGGATGAGATAATCAATTCCTCCCTACCCCCCAAGACCCCTCATTAACGCCTCTCCGTGTAGTTCTTGGCCGGCACTCCACAGTCGCTCCACGGATGGCGTGGTCTCAGCAGAGGAGTTGTCCTTTCCATACTGCTCTCCCTTGCTTGTTCCCTGAGCCTCTCTCTCACGGGAGATGTCTTTATTGCAGAGTGCTGAGAGAGAGTTTGGCCGAATCGCCGGCCTCGGCCTCCACGCCAGTCACGAGCTGAAAAAGCGCCGTACCACCAACTGACCCAGCAGGACCACGACCAGCACCACCATCATGTACTTCACATAAACATTATCCAAGTCCAATGCTGCCACCTGCCGCAGGAGAGAGAATCGCCGGTTAAACGATGGAGCAGCACAGTGACCCCGCTGCACAAGTGTATAAATTTGGCAGCATTGCGTTCATTAAAATATGCTCCGCCCTGCCACCAAATGAGCCAGATTCTGATCCCACTGACACCATGGTAAACCCACAGTAACTTCAGAGCATTATTAGTGAAGAAGCGTTTTCATCCGTCAGCCAGCTGTAAGGGACACTCTTACCTACAGCAGCTAAGGAATCCAAACAGCCCCTTCTGTGCAGCAGTTTCAATATAAGAACTAGGGCTGTGAAAGGTTAACTGGTAAGCATCGCCCTTGACAGGTGACGCTTACTGGTTCTGGTTAACTCATGGAGACCCGAGCAGCCTCTGTCTGTGGTGTACCCAGCATGCAGGGACTGCTCCAGCATGTGCTGACCCCAGCCTGGCCTAGCTACCTTCCATCAGTTTTCCTTGTGAGTTGTGCATCACAACCCAAGACATTCTTCCCAGCTGATAATCAGAGTGCCCATCGCTATTTTTTTTTTCTCCTGGTGGTGCACATTTGCGCATGTCTTGGTGCACATGAAAAAAATTATTCTGCACACAGATGGAAAAATCCACACATGGATGGAAATAATTACAGCAGGGCTACTCAACATGTGGCCCATTTGCTTGTGGCCCACGGTGCGGTTGGGGTTTACACAGGGCTCAACACGCAGCGCCCAGGTGGAAACCAAAACAAAAAAGTAGTCAATATAATGGTCTTCTGTTGATATAGTAGTTTTAGAAGTTAAATTCCTGCACTGCCATTGCTCATTGAAAGTGCTGTTATATGGGTGGAAATGGGGTAAATATTGCATTTTATTAATATCAGCAGAACTGACTTAAATGGGGCCTGCGTGTTGTGTAATCTTGCCTCAATTTTTGTATTTATGCCTGTCAGTGTGAAAGAAACTATTTGCATATATATGTGCATGTATATGCTACCACACTTAAGTTGCGGCCCTCAGCATGTGCTGTGAGTATCACTGTGGCCCTCGGGGCTTGCAAAGTTGAGTAGCCCCTGGATTACAGGGAACTTTGCCCAGTGGAGAAAAAGAGGCAGACTTACTCACCCATCCTCCCTGCTGGGCAATCCACTGGGCAATGCGATTGCGGAGCACGAAATCTGCCACGTAGCGGGCAATGCTCCGGAGGAAGCCGGTCATCCCGTGCTGGTATACATGGATTGCCATCCGGTAACCGAACCCCAGCAGCGCAATCACCCTGCCCCAGTTAATGCCGCTGTCAAACAAGCTGTAACAGAACCAAGCCTTCTGGTTAAAAAGACAATGCGAGGCCTGCTGGAGCTGGTATTCCGCCACCCCCTGCTGGGCTGCTCCATCCAGACACATTCCGCTGCAGTCGGTGAAATGTCTGGGGGTTCGCAGGTGCGTCCTGTGCACACCTGGAGCACCCTGAGCTCTCGAGTGACATCCTATCAAAGAGAGCGACAGCGTCATGGTGAAAACACACACAACTAACTGTGCAGATCTGCTCTTCCACATGCTCCACCACAGCCACTAACAAATTTGTTCTCCTTGAGCGGCAGCTACCCTGGAAGGAACACACTCGCTCTTGGGCTTTATCTAGGCAACAGAGAGAGGCAGGTTTCAACAGCACTGTGGCCCGAGCACATTAGGACATGATTTCTTCTTCACCTGGATGCATGACAATTAAATACCTCCCCTAGGGCTGGCTGCTGATCTCGCCTTAGACTGTCAGCTCTTTCGGGCGAGGAGGGACTTCCAACGTGCATCTGTGCAGCATCAACCCAATTGGGTTCCACTCCTAAGCACAGCTTCCAGCCCAAACAACCACCAATTCACATGGGTCTCGCACCACCAGTGTCACCGCCCTGAGTTACCCCTTATTGCACCAGAGTATGTGTGAGGAGATTCAGGCCCCAGGTTCTTGGTGCCTGTCAAGGCTATTTCTGTTCGCACAGCAACAGAGAAACTGTTCAAACACAGGTACCCACCCCGCTGCACCGCATAAAGATGAGGATCTTCCTAGTACAGATGGGGCCTTCCACAACAGCTTACGGAAAGAGGGGAGTTAGTGGAGATGCAGGAAGGAACAACACTGAAAAGGCAGGATGGAGAGTGAGGGACAGAGGTTAATTTACCTGTGTTGCTGTGCGTTAACCACCTCAGGATGGCAAAGCGTGGCTTCCCGAAGTAAGGGAGCAGGAAGAAAGGACAGAAGAGACAGTTAGGCAACATACACCAAGACCAGCATGTGCCCTGGGGAAAGGCTGGGTGGGTGTGCCAGTGGCGAGAAGCCTCCTCCCCTTCCCAGTATAGCCGTGCCGCAGGGCTGTCATTTGCACTGGGCCTGGCCTAATGAGGGAGGAAGGAGGCCCTAGTGGATAGGGATGAGTCTGGGCCTCAAGGTTCAATCCACAGTCTGTGTCAAATTGCTTCACCTTCTCTGTGCCTCTGTTCCCCATCAGTAAAAGAGAGCTAAGCCTTCCCTTCCTCAGGGGGGCCTACAGGGGTAGAATCCAGTGGTGGTTGTGAGGTGCTCAGATACCATGGCAGGATAGTACCTGGCAGAATGATGCCGTGAACAGGCAAGCCTCTCGCGGCTATCCCAAAATAGGGGAGATAGGGCAGAGGGGGACCCCCATCTCCTCAAGGGCCTCGTCCCATCAATGCCAAGCTGTGGGTTCACCAGCTATGTCTGCTGCCTTTCCCTTTACCCCGGATAAGCCACCTCCGCCGTGGCCTGCCAGTAGTAGCAGAGGACTGAAGTGCTTTCCTCTATCTGCTTGCTTATATGGACTGCGCTGAACCCAACACACACTCTAGGAAGCTGCCCCAATCCACAGGCATCTCTGCAGCCATTTCAACAATGGCAAGCTCTTGAAATCAGAAGGTTTCTGAGCACGGCTAGTCTGCTGTTCTGTTTTAAACACAGGGAGCGGGATTCTCCCCTGCGTCCAAGCTCTTCTGAAAGCAAGAGGGCAAGGGACACCAGGGAACGGCCAGTCCTGGTGTGAGCTGCAACAGTCTGGGAAACTCTGAGGACTGGTATAACTGCCCTTCCCCCTTCCACTGTGGCGTATGCCCAGCCCCGGAGCCAGCGTTGCCAGTTCAGACAGAGCTCACACAGAATCCAGCCCCTTTTGCACAGCCTGAGCAGCTGGGAGATCACACGGGAAACTCCAGCACCACCAGAACACGCTCCCTTTCCACCCACTGACTTCTGGGAGAGACTTTCCTCCCGCCGTAAACAAGCAAACAAACGCATCAGAGTCCCAGCTTCTCAGACCCTTCGCTTTCACTTTTCACCCTTTTCTCCCCTTCTCAGCAGCAGGGCTAAGCTGCGCCTCAGGGCAGGAGGATGCACAGGCAGCACTTAAAGGGCTGTGGAGTAACCAGGTCTGAGTGCTAGCTAAGGTCACAGGCTGGACTAAGGCGTTTCACTGTTAGAGACACCGAGCCTCTGCAGAGCCTATTGCCTGAAGCTGTGGTTGCTTAGAGCCAGCTAGAAAACAGGCCTTGAGCTTTCAACCATCAAGCTTTCCTGGCTGCGAAGAAAAACCTTCCCAATGGGAGCTGACACAGGTCTGCCCAAGAATTCAACAGTGACAAGATTTCCCTCTTGTGCTGGTTTTACACCGGGGTAACTCCAGACATCAGTAAAATCCCTCCGGATGTCAGAGGAGAGCCAGGCCTCACAGCTCAATGACACATTCTGTTATCACCCTTGGGATTCACAGCATTGGGGCACATTTTCATCACCATCCATCTTTCTGCATGCTCATTAGCTCATTGCAAAGACTGCAGGTGCATTTGCAAATGGGACCGAAGACCTAGTTGCAGTCAGGAGTGTCCCGAGGTCGGCTGCGGCAGCTGGCACCCCAGGCAGAACACACGATCGGCACCCCCACCTGCACGGCCGACAATGGAATGAAGTCATCATCGGGTGCCCTAGGCACCCCATCGAAGGCGGCGCTCTAGGCGACGGCTGAGTCGGCCTATAGTCATGGGCCACTCCTGGTTACAGGCGCCCATGACATATCTGACATGGGTGTACAATGACAGGCAGAAGCACAGACAGATGGAAAACATGGGCATATTTTGGGCACTGCTTCATGGAACTCCATCCTTCCATTGTGAACTAGTTCACAGCTGACACCAGCTTCTCTGGGGTTGTGGGCTGGGTTTGGGGGCAGGATTTGGGTAAAATAACACTAATTTTTGCTCCTCTGATTTCCGCCCTGTGTGCCTGTCTGACTCGATCTGCAACAGAACAAGTCCCCGTCTGTCACCAGCATTCCTAGGGAGGTGGCATGGGAGTGCAGGGAGCTGGCTGCCTTACCTGGAGGCTATCTTGGTAAAGTACTCGTAGGCGTTGTCCTTTGTGGGCTGCAAGGTCTTCAGCATGTTCCGGAACTCTGCGTCATACCGCATGTTGATGTCATCTCCGATGAGGGCCAGGCGTCTGCCCACCTGGCTGCTGGTGCTGGCAAGAGGATAGAAAACTTTAGAGACGGGCCCCACTTCCACAGTGAGTGCAGGATGTCAAGAGCAGGGTTTGCTGTAAGCGGTGCGCTTGTGCGGCCGCTCAGGAACGATTCAAATGCTGCCCAGCTGATTAGCAGAGCACTCACCGCTAGGTTTATGTTTCTACGGGTGGTGCACATTTGCACATGCTTTATGCATGGCACAAATTTATTCCGCACATGGCTGGGAAAAAAAATCTGCACGTGGATGGGAACGATCAGGGGGAACATTGGCCAGGAGGATGCAGGGTCAGGAATGTGAATCCACCCTGAGCATGGACTATGTGGGGAGAGGTATGATTCAGTCTGTAATGGGGAGAGCTTTACCTGCCCGTCTCCTGCTGGATCTCTGCGATCTCGGGGTCCATCGGCACCTCCTCTCCGCCCGCTTCCCTCTCTTGCTGGTAGCGGTGGAAGGCATAGCTCTGGAACACCTCCTCCGTCTCACGGGCCACTTGATCTTCTGAGGAAGAGACAACGACTGACAGAGTCAGGCAGGCAGCTCCCCTGGGGTGCGCCGGAGTGAGGGAAGCCCTTCTATCCCCCTGCTCTTATGACCCTGGGGAAACTCCACAGCCTCTCCCGTATCCTTTGAGACCGCCTCCACCAGCACCCCCTGCACTGCTGCGCTCTCTGTCGTTCTGACGCACCAAATGGCCATTGTGTTTAGATGGCAGATTGCTCTGCAAGGGCCTGCTCTGCTTGGGGGGTTTGATGAGACAGCAGCAGAGCCCTCAGAGGCTTGAAGCACTGACAGATGCCATGTGAAACTGAGGCACAGCATTGGGAAGCTGCTTGCTCAGGTTTACCCACCAGGCCAGTGGCACAGATCCCAAAGTCTTCCTGAGTGCCAGCCGAGTGCACGCTCTATTGCGCCATGCTGCCTTCCATAATAAAGTCACGCAGGAGTTTGTACCAACAGAACCAAATCAGTTTAACTAAAGCAGTGCAATTGTTTGGTTAGACAAGGTGTTAGTTAGCAACACGTCTTGCTACAGGATCAAATGAGGGCTGAACCTGGATCTTGGAGGGAGCATATCAGTGACAAATAGAGTAAGAAAACTAGAGAGCTTCAAAACAAACCAAGTCAAGGGCTAACTGGGAGACTGATTTTAATTAGCTGGATGTCCACTTATCATTGGCGTGGCCCAGTTTCCCGAGGTCCCATAAAGCCACTGGTCCTGGCTCTCAGTGTTCTGTGCTGTTATTTAGCTCTAATTTACCCCTAAATGTCTCCTCAGAACCTAGTAAGAAGGGCAAGTGTTAGTGATGCTGCTAGACAATATTGCCCTGCCGTGGTTCGGCAAATTCTCTGCTTCTGCACCAGTCGGATGGTCCCGAGGGTCCCTGACTAAAGAGGTTCAGCCTGTACAGCCATGGACCATGGTGCCTTTGCCCCACATTACATGCACAGATCATGCTTCAGACGGAGAGGGTTTCAAACAGATGTGGTGCCATCACATTTTGAAAAGCCTCTGTCTTTTGGAAGCTCGACTAGAGACTTGGATTTTTGTAGGCGTGCTGAGAACCCGCGGCTCACACTGATTTCAACAGCAGCTGCAAGCGCTCAACTCCTCCGAAAATCCAGGCAAAAAAGCCTCCACAGGCTGCCAAAAAAAATCAGTGGTCAACGTCAAAAGTGTTAGCTTAATGTTTTATCGCTTTTAAACAAACAAAGCAAAGCAAACTTTCTTGTGAGTGGCTTTCTAAAAAATGAGGCATAGGCTTTGTCTGCACTACCCAGCTTTTAGCAACACGGCCGGATTGTTAAATTCAGGCAGTGCGAATGCTGTTTGTCTGCATTTCTGCCAACTAAATACTTCCACCCGCTATGAGCAGGGTTCACTTTGTCGAAAGGAGAGCGCTGCTGCCGACAACGCGCCATTTACCCTGGCACTTGCCACGGCAAAACTGTTTTAATTTGGGAGGGGGTGGTATTAAGCACCCATGAATGACAAAAGTGTTGTCGTTCAATTGCAAGTGTACACACGGTCGTGCAGGAGATTTTTTATCCCCAGGGAGTGATGCCAACTCTCATAATTTTATCACAGGTTTCACAATAGCTGATCTCATTCTTAAAGTCCCAGCTTCTAGAGTCAAAGGATTATAAGGGGGAAAAAAAGTTTCTGGCCTTTGTGGTTGTGAAGAAAAGCTTGAAAATGCAGATTCCTAATCCTTTCATAGAGGTTATGAAATGATTTTTTTTATAGCACAGGCCACCCACACACCAACCAAACAACCGAAATGATACCAGAGTATTACAGCTCTTAGGAGACTAGACTATTATGAGCAAAAGACAGAGAACAAGAGGGACAGAGGAATATCAATGCCCAAGGCCTCATCAATGGCAGGAAAATATGCTAATAATCCCGGCAAGTGACCTGTGCCCCATACTGCAGAGAAAGGTGGGGGGAGGAAAGGTCATTGCCAAGCTGTCCTGGGAGGGAAATTCCTTCCTGACCCCACATATGGGAGTTAGACCCTGAGCACCTGAGCAAGAACCAGCCAGCCAAGCAACCGAGACAGACGATGATCAATCTTCCAGTCCAGTGTCCCAGCTCCAGCTCTGCCACCTCTGGGTTCTCCGAGGAAGGGGGGAGGATGGAGGGAAACCTCCCAGAATACACTGGAGCAGTGGTCCCCAACGTGGCGCCCGCTGGGGCATTTATGTGCGCGGCTCAAGGGCAGCCCCTGCCCCGGGTGCATGGCACATGTGCGGTGCCGGCCCCGGGTGCGCAGCGCATAAACGGCCCCGCCCCTGGGCATGCGGTGCGTGAGCGGCCCCGCCCCCAGGCACCCGACGCATGAGCAGCCTGGGCGCCCGGCATCCCTGAGAGGTTGGGGACCCCTGCACTGGAGGTGGGGAGCAAATTCCTTTGCTGACCCCTACTGGTGGGTCTGGCTGAAGCATTAGTGTTTAAGAACATCAGACATAAACCAGACGTGAGCACTAGCACAGCTGAGCCTTCTCCCACCATCATAAACAGCCCCTGCATATAATCATACTCATCAATGTGTCCAGCTCTCCCTTAAAACACACTACGGTGTTTGCCATCCCCAACCTCAGCTAGCCTGCCCCACAACCTCACTCCTCTGCTGGTTAGAAACCTTCTTCTAAGTCCCAGCCTCAGTTTGCTCATGGCCCATTTATATCCATTTGTTCTTGTGCCCTTCACCTGAAATAACTCTGCATCCAGCCCCCAGCAGCCTTCTTACTGCTACTTTCAACAAGCCAGGCTCTCCTGTCTCCTCTCAGAAGCTAGGCCCTGCATTCATCTGATCGTCCGAGTAGTTCTCCTCTGCCCCTGCTTTAGTCTGAAGTCATCTTTCTTGCATGTGGCTGACCCGAATTGTACGCAGGATTCCAGATGGGGTTTACGAGTGCCTTGTACAATGCCATTCAACCTTCCCTTCATATAGCCTAGGACCAGAACCAGGAAGGGCCATTAGCCTGACCTCCTGCATAACACAAGCCATTGCATTTCACCCAGGTCCTGCTGTAAAACGCCCAATAGCTTGAGCTGAATGAAAGCATTTCTGTCCACCGAAGTCTGAACCAGTAAAGAGTAGGTTAGATAAATGTCTGTCAGGGATGGTTGTGTGGGTTTCTTTTTTTAATTTTTATTTTTTGCTTCTCGCTTGTGTGCAGCACCCAGCTGATTTTTTCTGTGGCTCAGTGGCCCCGAACCCAAACAAGCTTCCCCACCCTGTGTTACCAGAATTACAACATCCGATAAGTGTCTGGTGAGTGGGAGCCAACCCATCAACCCAGCCTGGCATCTCTCTGTAGCCACTGCAGGATTGTTCCCTACAGTGTATGTCCTAGCGATGCTTCTGGGATGCAGGTGCAGTTGTATAGATTCTCCAGGACTGGATAACCAAGGCTCGTGAGCCATTTTCATGCACTCACTTCCTATCAGATCACTTACTATTTGAGCCCACTGATGCCAGTATGTCTGGTAGCTGCAAATGCCATCTGGGCTTCTGTGTCCTTTGCATGACCTGGTGTTGGTAACAGGAAGAAAGCCATGCTTTTTCACACAGCATTGCTGCAGATGCTGTAACCACTAAATTACACACACACACACACACACTCAAACGCACATACGTCAGCACACCACATGACTTCAAGCCAGTCGCCTGACTCCCAGCGCCCCAGTGAACTGTGCTGCTGCAAAACAGGAACCTCGCTGAAACGCAGGTGATCTGAAGCTGAGCTGCCCTGCAGAAAGGCTGCTGTTCAGCCTTCCTGAAATCCCCACCCCTGCTGTTTACCAGCAGGGTGTCCAAATCCTCTGCTTTGATAACAAATAGAGGGAGAGATAAGTCACTAGCAGGGACGATGGTTCTGAGGCTCCAGCAGAAGACAGGGGTTGTTTTGGAAAACCTGTGACTGTTTCTGGACACAGCCGCTTCTTCTTCAGTGTCAGGGCTATAAACAGGTCTTGGTTTGGAACAAATAAGATGCAGAGCAGTAGTGTCACCTGGCCGACTGTTCAAGAGAACAACAAAGCAGGCTCCACACATGCTCAGGGAAATGAACCAGGTTGGCTGGATCTTCAAAACATAAGCTGGGGTGGAGTTTCCCTGCTGTTGGGTTATGCTCCACCGGTGACATAACAGCAAGAGCCCAGTGCAGACAGGTTGCTAGTGATCTATCGACATTAGTGGCTGCCGTAGTGGAAGGATACACTAGGCCTGTATCAGAGCTTGTCTCCACTTGGAAGCAGAGCAGCTGTTCTGGAATAAGAAGGTCCACATGGGGAAATTAATTTGGAATAGCTAGTCTGGAAAAATTTCCAAGTGTGGACACATCCTTACACAAGGACATCTGACAAATATGGGACAAGACAAGTTGCTGACTGTAGGGAACCCATGGCTAAGCATGGCAGCTCTTACGAGCCAACAGACGCCTAATAAAGCACAATGTTACTAGCTAATTTGTGTTACTAGCTAATTTGTGTTAAGTTACAAATTGCCTTCTCTGCACTATGGTTAAACACTAGTAAAAACAAGATATTGGCTTAATTCAGAGTATTCACCTACTTAAATATAAATTATATGCATACTCATTTGCAGGATCAGAGTCTAAATGATTAAAGACACTTGATCTTAGCCAAAAGGCCGAGAAGCGATAATACAAGGTGGAAAACAGTGGAGTACAAGGCCTATATACATTTAAACTCAGGTCTGGGCACAGGTCAGTCATGGATTTCAGAGGTACAGAACACATGCAGTTCCCTTTTACTTCAGACAAATTTGTAGGTCCTTAACAAGTCTGAAAATCAAGCCCAAGATCACACCAATAACATAATTCTGGCTCATAAAAAGATAACTGGGGGTATGTCTACACTACCCCGCTAGTTCGAACTAGCGGGGTAGTGTAGACATACCCATACAGATTAACTTCAAACTTAAACCACAAAGGATTAGGAAAACAGCCAGTCCACTTCTCACTGAGGAGAGCAGAACAAAATGTCTGGAGTTGCTATGCAACACCATTTTCCAGATGCGGCAAAAAACATGGAGTTTTTTTTTTAAAGATCCTTG